ATGACAAAAAGCATTTTTATTATTACTTAAAGCTTAATATATCATATATTTATTTGTAAAAAATTGCTTTTAAGCGTATCTAATGCATTTTTTAACTATAAACGATAAATGCAAATCAAAAGAATATAATTATCAGTTTTATAGGCTTTGTATATGGATTAATACTTTGTTAGCATGTACTAATATTTACATTTTATTAAATATTTATAGAATTCTTATTATTTTAGCACTATTCGGATAAAAATTATAAGAGATTCTAATATATCAACAAGGTAATAGAATATTTTATACTTGTATGTTATTGTACGGGTATGCTTAATAATGGTATGATGTTGCCGTTTCGCCACATCAGATCATTATTAATTAGATCTTTAAGCAGATCATATTTTTATTTAGTTCTTTGTTTTTAATAAGCATTTAAATAAATAATTAATTATTAATTCTTCAATTATATAAATAGTTTTCGACTTTATTTGCTTTGGTTATTATGTCAGAGTGAGCGCGTTATAAAATAAATAACGCATTGTCAATTGTCACGTAAACATATTTTTGCATTTTTTTTTGTGTTGTTGACATAGATCATATTTATCGTAGGATAGAAAACAAGTATGCTGGTCAAAAGGTTGATAACTTTTCATCATATTTTATGATGATTTTTCATCATGTTTCATGATAACTTTTCATCATGTTTCATGATGACTTTTCATCATGTTTTATGATAACTTTTCATCATGTTGACATGATGACTTTTCATCATGTTGATCATATTTTTCATCATATTTTATGATGTTTTTCACCATGTGACATGAAATTTTTTCATCATGTGTTGAATAATCTTCATCATGTTTCCTAATATGAAATTTTAACTAACCAAAAATGTCTTACCAAACTACTGGTTTTTTGATGTTCAGATTTAGAAAATAAGAAAATTTTTTTTTACAAACTTAGAAATTTACCGATTTTCTGGTATTTTGCCATTACACAAATATATATCACATAAAAAATTTTATCACTTCACATTAACAGTATATGAACAAAAGAAAAATAATTCAATAAAAACAATACATATACATAAATGTAGGTTGTAAAATTTTTCGTATGGGAAGAGTTCGTATGGGATATCTTTGATAGAAAATATATTTTTTGAGATTTTTTGAGTTCGTATGGGAAGAGTTCGTATGGGACTTTTTAATAAAGATTTTCTTTTTGTAGGGTTCGTATGGGATATTTTTAATAAAAATTTTTTTTTTTTGAGATGTTCTAAGATTCGTATAGGATATTTTTGATAAATAAAGATTTTTTTTTTAAGAATTCTATGGGATGATAGATAAGTTTTTTTTTTGAAAGATTCTAGGATATTTCTAATAAAAAAATTTTTTGAGATTTTCTAAGATTAATATAAAATATTTTTGATAATTTTTTTTTTGAGAGTTTTTTTGATAATTCCATCAGTAAATTTCGGAGGGGTCAATATTGTACATTAATGTGCAATAAGTTCAATATTGTTCATTATATTGCACAAAATTTTAAATTGCACAAATTTTATGCAATAATGAGCAAAATTTTTTGCAATTTATTGTAAAATATTGTATGTCATTTTTGCATAAAATTTGCACAAAATATTGCACATATACATATAAGAGAAATATAGCCAATTAAAACTATTTATAACCACGGCGTTCCACTAGTCAATTTCGGTCATATGACTTTTGGCTAAGTTTTGGCCAAAGTTCAGACTGTGCGAAATTTCAACCAAAATTTTGACACATGATATCTTTCCGAAGAATGATTATCACGTATATAATAGATAAGTGATAATCTTTAACAAATTAATTTTTAAATTTTTTTTTATTTAAAACTCTTTCGAAGTTTCACAACGAAACTTTAAAAAAATTATTTTTTATTTTTCTTTTCAAAGTTTCGTTATGAAACTATAAAAAAAATTATTTTTTATTTTATTTTTTTTCTTTAATTTATTTTTATTTAAAACTCTTTCGAAGTTTCACAACAAAACTAAATAAATTATTTTTTTTTTCTTTTCAAAGTTTTGTTGCGAAACTATAAAAAAATTATTTTTTATTTATTTTTTCTTTTAATTTAATGTTTTTCAAAGTTTCGTTTCAAAACTATTATTTATTTTTTATTAAATATTTTTCTTCTATTGTATAGATATTGGCTTTAAAACTTAAAAAATTTTTTTTTCTTATTTTATAGGTTTCACCTTCTGATACTTGGGCCTTGTTAGGTGGTTAAACGCTTCAAAACTTTTTTTTAAAAAAGTTTTTTTAAACTTTTAATAATTTTCTTTTTTTTTATTTTGTAAGTTACGTCTTCTGATACTTGGTCTTTGTTAGGTGAGTTTCGAAGCTTTGCTTTCGCTTTGAAACTTTTAAAATATTTTTTTTT